CTTGTTATCATTGATACGATAATACTGTGACAAAATCATTTGCGCTCTTCAGAATGACACTAGCACGTCAGTGTTAATTCGACTGTCCTTTCGCCTCTAAATGCTTTTGGAAAACTTCTGCTATCAGCAGTCATAAAAACTGTCAACCCCCAGGTACAGCGATACAATCGCCGAAAGAAGTCATTAAATAATTCAGCGTCTATTTTCTTCCAGCCAAAAAAATCCGTGCTTTCTTCGATAATAAATAGAGTTCGAGGCGTAAGAGGAAATTGTCGAAATGCGGCCGATAACGAATGAGTGTGACCAAACAAATAAAGTCATCACGGGATCGTTAGATAGCTATTTCCACGTGGGATGTAAAATAACCTTGTCGTTATTTCTGACGAGGCCTTTCGTTTAGAATTTCTAAGAGTGTTTATCAAAGGAAGTCACGCCCTGCAGACCAACTGAGTTTGTTTTTGTAACCACAAACCGCTTCCGTTGTTTCCACAAATTTCGTTTTGTGTCTGCGCAAGATAACCTCTGAACCGTACTTGAAATAGCCAGTCAGATAAGACTCAGCCTCGAAATAGATGAAAATAGAAATAAAAGCTTTCCTTGGGAAAAACGAGTCTTAACTTTTCCTTGAAAACATTTAGATCGTGAGGACAGAACCGCGAAATTTAATGCTCTGTTTCTAGATATTTGCTTGTCGAAATCGCGAATACGTAACCCCGCGAAATATTTAGTCTTGCCAAAATCACGAACTAGTTAAGTACGAATAACAGAAGTATTTAGTACTGCAACGCTTCCTTTTACATTTTGCAGATCTCTCAGCAAGCGGACGCGAAATGATGGCTTACTTAATTATTTTATTTATTTATTCCTCCAATTCCTAAATATTACATTACAACACTTAAATTATTCAAATGGAAGAAAAAATTGGAGGAAGAGGAGAGGGGCACATCTAGATAAATTAATATTGTGCCCCTTAAGTTACAAGACTTTGAATTTTATTAAATAGAAAAGAAGCAAAGGAAAATATTTCGGTAAATTATGAGTGAGGAAGATGATGTTTCCGACGAATATTGAGAAGGGTACCAGCGCAAAAGTGCTTTTCTAAATATTTTTTTAGAGGGTTTGTCCCTGATGAATTGCGGTATGTTATTCCAAGAGATCCAATAATGCTAGGATAAAATCTCCTAAGATTGGTTCGAAAAGAAGCTTACTTAATAAACAACGAAAGGAAATAATTTTTGAGCCGTAAATTCGCTTCACAACCTTTGTAGACTGAGTCCCAACAAATTTTTAAAATAAGACGAAGGATTCTCAAGGCATGAAAAACTTTCGCTGAATTATTCGCATTGTAATGTTTCGTACTGCTCCATTGCATTCTGATTGAAAAATAACCACACGTTAAAAGCTTTGTCGTTCCCCAAATTCATAGAGTTTATTTGCGTTTGTCTTGTAGTCATTTCTCGCGTGTCTTAATTTGATAGCGTAAACAGGAAAATTTATCGTCTTAGTAAAAACTAATCCGATTTGGATTACAACAGCATTACACGAGTCGAACAACATGGAGATGATACATGCATGTTGATGCATGCATGTTCAGTAAGCGGGGCGGAGTGATTGTGGGCTTCGCAGGACGCCGCTTTTCGTGTACTGCATTTGTCCCCTTTTAGTTGGATCAGCCAACAAGTAAGTTGAAAAACGACTTCTGTTCTCAAAATTTCTATCAATTCTCTTTTGGATAGTTTTGTTTCATTACGGCTACAAACTCACGCAACTAATGTTCACTGAGTAATTTCTTAAGGGACGTTGCTTGAAAGTCACACGAGCGCTCCAAAGAGGAACTCAATTTTTTTGAAACGTTAATATATAATTAAATTTCCTGCGGTTGTTTTGTAGAAAACTAATTTGAAATGCTGCCATAAGATGAGGTATGTACGAAGAGGCATTTACGGATACAGAGTAAAAGCGGGTTATCAGACTTTAAAGGCCGGTTAGTATAAAACGCGATCTAACCCAAACCGCAGATTTTTTTTCCCTCCACTATTAGCTTTCGGCTCTCTTGGCACTGTTCGCAAAAATAATTGTTTAGATAAAAGGTTCTGCCAAATTGAAGATGGCTTAGAACGTGGTTTTGTCAAACAACTGTTAAACTTTGTTTAAATGACCGACCCTAAAGGTCTCACAGCGAAAAGCGAGAAATGAAGGTAGTGTTTTCTTTCCCCGATATGCTCTCTTTAAATTTCACGAACAGTGTTTTGCGTACTGAGTGAAACATTCTCTGGTGAGCAAATTGTCTTAGTAAGACAGCACCGAATGTGTTTTACCCTTAAAAATTACCCTGTTTTGTCGAAGACCATTTTTCTTCATTTTTTTTTTTTGTTTCTGTACAAATGTGTTGAATGGCAGGTTTGTTTGCGTGAAGGAAAATATCAATTCAACTGTGTATTGACCAAAGTATATATATATATATTATTAACCAAGCGCGAGGGCCGTACTGGGAGAATATCGGCTCGAGGTCTTGACAGTACGGACCGAGCGCAGCGAGGTCCGTACAAAAAAGACCGAGGGCCGATATTCTTCCAGTACGGTCCCAAGCAAGCTTGGTTAATAAGAGATTTATTATACGACTGAAGTTGAAAGGGACACAAGTGCGGTATCATTCGGGACCATTCGGGACAGTGCCCGGTCCAATACTTAGAGAATATTGGACCAGCATTTAGCACGCTGGACATCACTCATAAGGATACAGACCGAAAAATAAGATCACAATCTTGGATTTCTGGCCCCTTGAAGTTACAACTCAATTTCAAGATGAAACTAAGCGAAAATTTCATGTGCGCTCCCCTTGCATGAGATTAAGGAATTAAATCTGTAACGAGTAAATTGTTCAATTCAAAGTTTCTACATCTCCCCGGAGACCCCAAGCATTGAACTTTTGAAGATTGGTTCATTCAAATTCCCGCGGCCCGGCCAAAACTTGCCCAAATTGTTCAATTCAAATTGTTCAATTCAAAGTTTCAATTTCAAAACTCAATTTCAAGATGAAACTAAGCGAAAATTTCATGTGCGCTCCCCTTGCATGAGATTAAGGAATTAAATCTGTAACGAGTAAATTGTTCAATTCAAAGTTTCTACATCTCCCCGGAGACCCCAAGCATTGAACTTTTGAAGATTGGTTCATTCAAATTCCCGCGGCCCGCCCAAAACTTGCCCAACCTAAGCACAATGTTTTCATTGACCGTTCCTTTGTACCAGCAACGTCGTAAGAATTTAGCAAAGTCAGTTTAGCTGTTTGGTATTGCTGTTTGCTTTTTTCGCTTGTTAACATAATTCTAAAGTGTGGAAACTTTATTCTAAGCCATTTGCACACAACAACGGACCCTCTACTTTAAGCTCCTCCATATTAAAAATCAAACCTCGGGTGTTCTGCTGGGTCAGATTCCCCACCCCACCCTGGCAAGATTCAGATTACGAACCCCTAGGGCATGGACGACAGTCGAATATCTGTTGTTGCCCCCAGATGGGGGAGGAAGGGGGTTGAAGCATCGTCAAGGTTTAACACGTGCCTCGTTTTGAAACAAAGGCGTTTCGGAAGCTTCTCGGATGAGGTCAATTAGGTATGTAAAGCAAGCTAACTCGACCTCACTGTAGAAGCTACATCAACGTGGGATTCCATCCAATGATTGGATGGTATCCCTATTTTCCGCCATACCTACCCCGACCTCTCCGATGTCCATCTTACTCCTAACCCCTTGCCTCCCATTCAAACTCCCTTGTTAGACTGGAATACAATCGTGCCTGGCCGTTTGGTATGTTCTAATGAGCTGTTGCAACTATCATAAAATGCAAATTCCGGTACTGCTAAAGGCCAGAATCGCTTCAGTAAACATGCTTGTTAAAAATCCCGTTGTGTCACTTAGCTGACTCTAGATTCCAAAGTGCCCCGCAAACAACGAATTTACTAATTCACGTTGGCAGACGAGAAACACCAGCTCTAGTCACAAGTGCACTTGTTCTTTTAAAGTTATGTGTGTAGGCGACATACGTGCTGAGAGAAAAAGGAAAAAAACGTTGAAAATAATCAATAGACAAAGAATCTTATTCCAACACAGGTAACTGGATCGTTATGATTTCAAACATTCTTTCCGACATGTGTGTACATTCTCCTAGTTACCTTTGTGCCATTTGAGGGATGTCGACGAGTTGGAATTAATAAGAAAATTTTAATACTGAAATGACCATCTTAGAACCTTCCACTATTCGCCTTTCTACAATCGAGGCAAATTCTAAAAGGATCAATGAAGTGTTTCTTGCCATTATGATTGACAGTTACGGACATTAGCCTTTTCTTTTCCTCATTAAATCAGATACAGGCCCAGGCGCGTACTCGCCGGATGACGCATTTAAAATTTCAGATTTGACTGAACGCTATTTTGCTTTTGAAGACATTTTCACATATCTTTAAGACTTGCGCCACGCGCAAACACCTTTAATGGGTGAACAAAGCTCAATAAGAGCGGCCCGAGAATGCCTCGAGAAGAGCACAGTCCGCTGATGACGTCACCATTCATCACAGTTCGAGCGATCGGAGGGAATTTTCCCAAAGAACGTCAAAGTCATCGAGGATACAGCTATAAAATTTTCAACGGCGCAAAGCTTTTGTTATCGTTGTGGTCAACTGCTACAATTACCCACAAGTATGTGTCAAGTCCAACAGTAATCTCAACTTTCAGGAACCATAAGTGAAAGGCACAATAATTCCATCGACAGTGAGTTCGAGGCACGGCCTTTAGCGGTCTCTATGCTGGAATGTTTCACGACGAAAGGAAACGAACGATTTTTGAACCGACGTGAACTGACTTATCAATCCTTTACCAAGGGTCGTGACCAAACATCGAAAACTGGAATTACGAGAACTTTTAATATAATAATAATAATATAGATCAATTTCTATAGCGCATTTCCATGTAAATGCTCTAATGCGCTTTACAACACTGTGCGGGGGACTTTTCCAGACTGCCGGCGGCAGTTTACAATTACTAAAGGAGAAATTTTTTACAGATGCCCCCTCCCCCTCTTCCCAGTAACATTTGTGGACAAGTATGTTCTTAGAAATAATACCGTCCCCAGAGAAGACATTCCACGCAAAGAGGTCAAATGACATAATAAAGATGAAATAAAAAAATGAAGAAACCCAATACAAAAGCCGGTCGCCATTACAACAAATGGGAACTTCATAAAACCGAAATTGTCGACCCACGCGCAAGCGCAGTTTTGCGTGTACCAGGTGGCTACCTCGAGTAGAAACACTACAATCAATCAATCATAACGTGGTCAGAACGCTTAGCTAAAAGCTAGTTTACAGGTACGCCACGAAATAAAAAGAAAAAAGGAAATCTACGAAAGTAGATAACGAAACCTGTTCTGAGGAAATAGGGCTAGTGGCGTTGCGTTCTCTTGAGGTTTTAAACGTCGCTGGTAAGTTGTGATTTTACTCGGTATGGATTATTTTGTTGTTTTAACACTTAATCTTACTTCCACTAAGAGAAATAGATCAGTGTGTACACGAGTGTTTACACGAGGCTACCAACAAAACATGTGGCTTTCGAGTCATTACGATCGTCTACATACCGAGATCTAACTTGTTTTTATAAAGTGCCTTTGCAGGCACAGAAGTGGAAGAAAGTCCCGTGAGTTTTACTTGTGTACAACATCCTGATAAAGGATTTGATGGCCTTTGTTCGGTGCTTCAAAAGGGCCATTACATGCAATAACTGTACTTTGTTCATTCTGCATTTAACATTGAAACCTTTCTACACCGTCCCTAATACTTCGTGTATTTTTAGGACTTCTGTTTAAAAGTTCAGAATTCTGAGGACTCAAGAAGTCACTGACGAGTAAGAATACTAAAATTAGCAAAGCTTTCTTCAAAAGCACTCTCTCCCTTGTTATCTACAATTTTTAATTCTGAAACGTCGGGCAAGTGCTTCTCCTTCCTTTCGCGTTTAACATGGCAAGGTTTTCAACTCTTATTCATTCGAAAAAGAGGAAATATGGGTTGATACTTGTATCCCTTGTCTCCACGCTACTGCAGCTGTTCTCGCCCATGCTAGAGGATAGCGTTGATGTCCCCAGGTACTCACTCCACATCCAACACAGCTCAACCGCATAACATAGCAAAGCTAAAAAGTTCGACTTCTTTAACAAACAAAAATCTGAAAGACAAAATCGTGTAAATAGATTGTCACAGAGCACAGGCAGAAGATATAGTGAAAGTGTTGAATGCATTCAAAGATCCCTTTTGTTTTTGCGGTTTCCATTCACTTTCAGCTTTTCGAGATACTCACACTCCAAGGAGTTTCACATTACGTCAAAGAGAAAACGAAGAAAACAAAAACAAGACAAAAATTCGGGCACACAAACTGCACAAACCTCAAATAAAATCAATATTTATCATGGATCAGACACTAAACAAAGGATAGTGTCTTTGAATTTGATCAGCTTTCCTTGATACGCATATTGTCTGGCAAGTATGGATGAATAGCTATTCCACTGGCGAATGTTAAGCACGATGTGTGGGTCCACTTTGTATAATCTAATTTTCAGATCAATACTCGACTGAGAGAAGGAAGGGGCAAAGTTAATAGATTGTATTAATATTGATGTACACACCGTTTTGTATTCGATGCAGGATCAAGAAATATGGCAGCCCAACCGATCAAAATGTTCTATACATCTCTCTTTTCAAGTGAAGGAATCCCTGCTGGATTAGACTTTCAGAAAAAGGTGAATCAATTAGAAAATAAGCTAAAAAAGTAGCGAAGTATTACTTTTAACAAATATGGCTAGTCTAAAGAACCAATTCTGCATTTATTGATCATAACAATGACAGCTTTCCTCATTTTCTTCTTCATTAGGATACTCACGAGATGTCGTTTACTGAACAAGGAAAAATAGTCACCCAATGTTCACAGCAAAACGATCTACATTTCCATAACTTGTAAGTTACAAGTTCAGTAAACCTCACGTAACATGATTTTACTTTTAACCTTATAACCCATCATGAATGAAGACAAATGACTAGACAAAGCAACCTTAGGTGCTTTCGATGATATACCTCGGCTCTACTTCAGTTTATGGCTATGTGGTCTACAATATCTGGAAACAAATTCAAACCCGTGAGAAAAAAGAAATGTTTTTGGCAAGAAGTAAAAATCTTTTCATTTCAAAAACTGCAGGTTCACCCCACGTTCATGTGTACATCGAATGTTGACTGATGATCAGCTACGCGTAAGTTGTATTACAGTCTATCTAATAACAAAGCGTTCATAGCCTCGATGTTATCAAGACAGTTTGTTTCCTTATTTGTTTCTGGTTTCTCTTATTACCTTATCGTGTACCGTTTATGGTCTATGCAATTTCTCTTTATCAATTTCTTTGCAATGTATCTTTAAGTTTTTTGATTTAGAACATACAAACGTCAAAAGGCTGCATCAAAGAACAAACATTACGTGAGGGTTATTTATCAATCTATTTACGTACTTATTTAGTAATCTTTCGTGTTTTCTTTTCTGCAGGAAACGGAAAGGGTAAACATTGTGGTACGGCAACACCAAGGAACGCCCCAATGCAGGGAACGATCATCGATAAATATACTTCCAGTTCGAGAAAGTCTGTAGATTTGTCGTAACATGAGTTTTCAGGGCTAGACGCTAAGAATCTTTCATTCATTGACTGCTATGAATGCTGCATAATGCTAATCAGTAAGATGTAATTAGCCAAGTAAGCAATGGAACTAATTAGGCTATCAAAGTGGTTTTCGGCTGAGTGTTTCAAGTAATCCAGATTTGCTTCATTAAGTTTCACGACTGGCTCTATAAAAAACTCGCGCCACTCTCTCTTAACCAATCAGGAGCCAAACGTAAGCCAATCCTGTTGTGGTTACCTCTTTTTCCGGCCATTGACGGCCACGGGTTGTTTACACGGCTATGGTTCACTGACTCATACTTTTATTGAATCATTATTTCTTTTATGCCGCAGGTTCCCTGTATATATCACTCCAGTAAATAAATAAAAAACCAAAAGAAACCTAGTTACAAAATGCCTCAAGACTCAGTCTCTAACAAAACAAAGTGCCTCCAGTGATTGCTCTAGAATGATTGAGCACATACAAAATGTTCATAGACAGGCCATTCACTAAAAAACCCTCCTCTGCGTTTTTTCAGCGCTACGTGGTTTCATCACATTTACAGGTTTCTGTCAATTGACGTGCTTCTTTCATCCATTTAAGAGAGTCAGTCCACAGTTAAATAAGCAGTACCAAATTTGCATTTCAACGTGTTGGTCAGCCTCAATATTCTAAGTTGCGCCGTCAGTCAAACGGAAACAACCGTCACCCCTTGCCGGTTTAATGTAACGGGCTCTGTATTAACATAGCTACAGTCTTAAGCAACAGATCACATTTAAGTAATGAAGACAGTCACCTTGAACAGCGAACTTAACGTGTTGCCAAAAGGTCAGTAAGGATTCTAGAAATTAGACTGATACCACTAGCATACTAATTTTAGGCTAAAGCTATCCTAAGTCGTAATTCTTTCACAACCGGCAATTTAATTCGATAATTACGAATCCCAGTGTATCTACAACGTTTCGGAAGCATAGAATGTGATTTTAAAAGGACAGAGCATTGAAAATGCTGTCTCCTGTACACTCAAGAGAATGGAATTATTTATGTTCCCACGAAGTAACGGAAAAGTAAACAAAACAAATCAAAGTATGGGCGGAATATAAATTTTTATAAGATAATACGGCTCAAAGAGGGTCTTGAATGAGCACGCCAAAATAAAGGTTAAGACGAGCACATGCAATGAACTCAATGAACAGCTCATTTTCCACACCTCGCCTCTCTTACCGATTAAGAATTAGAGAGAGATAAAAATACATGACACAAACACAAAGAAATTCTAACCTAAGGTCATCCTCATAAAGACTGAGCTGAGCCGCAGGAATTTTCACGCCACCAATCAGAAGGTGTTAAACAATTCTTCATAGCTAACTGATTGATCCGCTGTAGTCACGAGAATTTCAGTTAGAGTTTTATTGAAAGCTGTTAGAAGGGAGTTACATTTTCTTTGCCTGTTGTGTTTATACAGGATGGTTAGAGCTCTCGACTGCTCAACTTGTTTCAGGTCTTCGTATCTCGAAGTCTACATCGACAGATTACAAGTAACAGAAAACGGTCACAACAATCAAAAAACGATCATGAAATGCGGAAGATGACATAAGCTGTTAGATGCGAAAGACTCTACTCAGATGGCGCCTTTTCACTCTGATGTACAAACTTCTAGGGTAAGAGTGGTAACTCAAATTTTGTAAATACAAGATTTTGGTTAGCATGCAAGGTTACGATTTCGCGTGTCGAGAGTGCTATGTTGCGGTTAAGAAAATCAATGACGAATAGCCAGCATACCATCTAAAGGCGACGACTGATTCAGTTCATGCATGATAAAATCAATTTCAAGGTCGAATGCACCAGAATGAAAACAAAACCTATCAGTGATTCAGCGACGCTATCCTTTACACACGGAATAAATTTCACGTATATCGCCAAAAAAGAGAAGCACCAGTGATACGTACCGAAAGTTTCCGATGAAACAAATCGTATTGGATCTGAAGAAAATAGCAGTTTTTTTGGTGTAACTCACCTCATAGTGAGGGTATGATGGTGTCAAAGCTCTCCTCTGCCAAGAGGAAATTCCCAGCAAAACTAATCAAAGTTACTCAAAGTTACTTCTTCTGCAAAACGGGAAAGTATCCCGTAGAACTTTGGAAGCTAGCCGAAATCCAAAATTAAATAAACCTACACATACTTAATCAATCCAAAAGGAGCGAAAATGTTTAAAGATGAAGAGGATTGACATAGATTACACGTAAAAAACTGGAAAGATTTTAACCCACGAGTTACGAAGCCAACAATGGAATCATTAGCTCTCTTTTCAATACATTACTTAAAAAAAAAATTAGGGCTTTGAGCGAAGGGCCACATAACTACTGATTAGATTATTATGCTTAAACCTCGGAAGTGAAAACCACTTCAGAAATGACGACAAACACGATTAGTCGGGGACTTCATAACGATTGGAAATGTACATTGGGCTAACAATTTGACGTGTTTCCTAATTACGGCGGTCGAAATGAGATTGAACCGGTGGCTATGGTAAAATTTCTGTCATATTCGTTCAATCCAAAGAACTACTTTGATACACAGAAGTGATGGCACTCGAAAAGAAGTTTCGTCGGTCGTTTAGGTTAAAACGAACAATCAGAAAGGGGCTGAAACGAAACAAATAGCCCAAATTTATGTCGTATATTTCCTTCTCTCTAGGTGTATAGACCGTGGATATATCTCTAGTTTACTCGTTAAGAATTTTACCATCATGTCGCCATTTTGACTGTTTGGCGCAAGGTATTTCGGGAACTCGCCTTATTCCCTTCCTTCCATATTGTGTGTTTTTAAAAGATGGCGGAGAAACGTGGACGACGCTCTCTGGCTGATTTATCCTCACTGACAAACCACATGGAAAATCTCGTGAAATCAAGACACTCCCCCAGATGGCAACCTTCTGACCAACTGGTAAGTGTAACATTAATCGTTAAAATTTAATTTTTTTTTTTTTTTTTTTTTTTTTTTGTGGAATCACAGACATTTTGCCCACACGGTACTCTGAAGAATTATTTGACATCAAAAGGTTTGCAGCTAATAGGTTGTAAAATAACAAGTTATTCGTTCCTGATGAAAAATTTTCCCGAGTAAAAGAAATATTTGTGCTGATATGCAATCATAGGAAGCCAGTGACAAGACATGCTCAAGACTTTGACATGAAGGGCTTAAATTACGAGTTTTGACTTACAACAGGCTTTCGCTTGTCTTTGATCTGGACAGTTTTCTGAACAACACGACAACAGCTCTTAACGCCTTCCATAAGCCTGAAAAGATAAAAATTGCAGTTAACATAAGTTACAGAATAAATGACAAATGAACAATTTTTTCAAAAGATACACGATTAGAAACAACAAACACCAAAAAACCCCAAACAGTCGAACAAGCAAAAATAAAATTAACAAAAATCTGCAGACGGATAGAGAAACAAGTAAGTTACAGATCAGTACAAAAATTAAGTTTTTTTTAAGTTCTGACCAACGGAGTAAACGGTTCTCCTAGTAAGTTATGAAACCAATGCTATTGTATGTGACGCTGACTACAAAACTTTGTTGTTGTTTGCATTAAAGGCATACAGAGAACAGTCCCAATACCCCAGCGAGAGCAGTGACGAGGAAGAAGACAAAAACAAAGAGAATGAAGACATGAGATTTCTATCCGATGAAAGGTTATTCTGAAGGAATTGCTACATTTTGGCCGGTTTCAATAGCAGAAAAATCCCTTTCTTCTTAATTAGGAAAGTAAGGCATACTGACAATAACAAAAGTGTTTCTCTTTTTTCAGCCAAACGGATGGATTGATGAACACATCGATCATTTTGAGACACCACATACTGGTAAGAAAACGAGCAAACAAAAATTAAATGTGCTCCAACTAATTCTTCTAAAAGTGACTGGAGAGTTTAGAAACAGTTTGTGTTTCCAGAGAAACATTTGTTATTGGAAATATATATATATATATATCTTTCATACAATTACAGCAAACAGTTCCTGCAAGACTTTTGAACAGTTTACCTTTTGTAAAAACGTTGAGATCTACAGAAACTTCAAGTGTGAGAGTGGTGTATTTTTATAAAAACTCGACAATTCGAGGATTCCATAAGCTTTTTCTATCAAACAACTGCACCCCAAAATTAAATTAATAAAAATTTCCGAAAAAAAGAAAGATTTTAAGACACTAAGTAAAATAATAATAAAAAAAACCTTTAAAAGCTTAAACCTTAAGTCTTACTTCCTATCTGGTTACAGCATGTAATTCTACTTCCTCTCACTTGTCTTTGATAATTTCTTTTAGAGATCCAATGAACAGAACATCAGAAGTCAACCTGAAGACCAATTCTACATTGGTCTACTGGAGGCAACGTGTTTGTTG